GTAACAAAACATTCATCTCTAATAGATTGCGGGGTCTAAAGTACCCTGCCTAACCAGGAATCCGTGAAGCGTTTCATATTTTCGGAATTCAACCCCCGCTGTTGTCCAAATACCTTCCCATTTCGCGTAATAAACGGGTCTTTTGTACCCGTATCAATACAGGGTTAAAATACGAGTGTTATCTATCATGGTGATGTATGAATGTGGGTGGGTTATTTTTTATTTTCCAATTATCATTTGCCATATTATGAATACACAAAGCGTCTAATCAACCATAATCAACATAATTTTCGTCATCAACAGCGAATGAGATGCCACTGCTGAACCTTCATATACATTCATATATACTTACGTCACGCCTGTTTCCCATGGGGGTAGGCAGAGACTATGGAACGCCAATTGCTACGATTCTTACATACTTACCTCTTTCGCTTCATAATCTGCGTCAGTCTTTATTTTCTACACAAAACAGTTTCCATGATCTTCACGCTTCGCATATTGGAGATTGTAGAAGATAACCGATATCAACGCCCTCTTTTTATAAAGTCGATGAATTAATATACTAAAACCTTCTCCTAAGTATAACAAACACCCCGAGCGAACGGCGCGTCGCGTACCGCGCGCGCCTCAAGGAGCCATCAGACCACCACAGGGCTGATGCCGATACGGAGCCGCGGAGAACTTAACGGGTTACCGGGGCTCCGGCTCGAAGTGCAGGAGTGGGAATGGAGTGGTTTTTAGTCAGTAAGAGGCTGACACTCCCTCTCGCCTCACCCTGGCGGGAAAAGTCATTGGATGACATTCCCCCCTCGAAAAAAAAATCTGTTTCGATGTATCCAAACAGGTTCAACCAATCGCGAGATAATCGCGCACAAACATACATACACATACGTACAAATTAAACTGAGAACTTGCTTTTTATTAAAGTCGGTTAAAAATTATAAAAGTGCAATCAGATCTCTGTTGAAAGAAGCCGCTATGTCGATTCTTGTTATCTCGCCGCCCGATTAGAACCAGACCCGTGCGTACGGCGCGTCGCGTTCTGCGCGCGCCTTAAAGAGCCAGCAGACCACCACGGATGGGGCACAATAGGGCTAATACCGATATGGAGCCGCGAAGGATTTAACTGGTTGCCGAGGCTCCGGCTTGAAGTGCAGGAGTAGGAACGGGGTGGTGTTTAGTCATTAAGAGTCTGACACGACCCGACCCTGACCCGAGCGGAAGAAATCATTGGATGATTTTCCCCCCTCAAAATAGAAACACATAACATTTTGCCTGACATCACAAAGTACAACCATGACTTTACACAGTACACACACAAATTCACATTAAAAATAGTTCAGTAAAGTCTTCACACAAACATCCACACACACATATCAGGCACAGTTGCTGAAACACGCTATATATTTGAACTGAAAACAATATCTAGCTTCTAAACCTTAACGATCTGTAAACTGAAATTCAGCGAAGTATCATAACGCCTAGTTTTCAGCCTGAAAACTGCTGAACAAGTGAAACAGGGATAAGATTTCACTAGTTTGCTTTTTGTACTGTATTGTCTGATTTTCAGTGTAGATTTTAATGAGATTACCTTGTTGGCCGACTGGTTGAAAGTGCGACTGCCGGGCAAGGAGTTTTTAAAAATCTCAGTAGTAGCACGGAGCCTGGAAATGTACTCGGTATATGGCAATAGGCTCACCCCCTATTACATGGGACTGATAACATAAATAGTGAAAAGTGGGCGTTAAATTGTACAGTGGCATTAAGTGCCGTAATGTGCAACTCTGTATACCTCTTCGGGGATAAAAAACATGATGTAATGTGTGTTATGTATTTTAATGAGATTGCCTCATTGGCTGAGTGGTTGTGAGAGCCACTGTTCAACAAAAGGCTCCTAATACGATTTTCGGGTTGCACAAAATTTTTCGATTCTACGGAAGTTTTCAAGATCGAAGTATCAAAATAAAGATTAAAGATTATTCAAAAATATCTCGGTATTAATACGGAGTCCTGAAACGTAGTATTTGGCAGTAGGTGCACCCTCTATTACATGCTATCGATGTGAAGTGAATTAAATTAAAAGACATTTACTGTTACATTTTTATTACAGTTCTTATTCTAATGTTAACTTCAAACATCGAGTTACTAAACTTTGCTTGGTGTTTGAGAACAATAAAGGGAATCATTTACTCTGATGAACAAAAACAGGTTTAGGTCACAGATAAGATAACTAGACTCGATAAGGTTTTAAGCAAAATAAAAGAAAATATTTCATGTTTTTGTATCTCTCGCCTTTATAAATGAATGAATTAAAATAGGTGCTAAATAAGAACACGTCTGGCTACCCCCTGAACACTTATCATTTCCAACAGTTCTTCAAGCTAAAGATACAAATTCAATATGACTTCAAATCGCGAAAAAACAAAAATTGTTTCCAATAGTTCCAAAAAATATTCCAAAAAATCCATTGTGGATTTTTTAACCCCGAAGTCCCTATATTGTGTTCGTGTGACCAGTTTGATCGTACCGGGCAGGTGCTATAAATCTTCACAAAGTTCCGTCCTGTGGTCGACATTTATTTTGTTTTGTATTCCAATACTTCCATTGCTTTTAATCACTGAGAGAATTTTCCACCGATTCCCGAAGTTTTATGGCGAAAAGTACCTATTGGATGGATTTATGGATTTTTTCGCCATGACATGTGGACTCCAGAATCCGATTGGTTTTTTATGCTTTTTCAGGGGTGGTATGTAGGGTTTAGATTGGTATCTGACTACCGTTTTTTGGGTCAGTAGTCTTAAAAGTTAACAAAGGGGATTAACGCTTAAGATTAAATTGTTCGGCAATGTCTGTTTCTGTTTTACAATATATTATAATAGCGAAAGTTTGTCTTTGTGTGTATGATGTTTATTACTCAAGTCAAAACTGCTGAAGGGATCCGTTTCAAATTTGTTTTTTTTAAAAAAAACGTTGCCCTACACTAGAATTATCTCTTGTGTCGTAGGTGAGTTTACAATCATACAAGTTCACATACACAATGACACCCAGGCCCGAAACAACAATTTGTGGATCACACAAAGTGTGTTCTGTGCGGGAATCGAACCCGCGACACGTTGCACGGCAGCCGGTTGCCCAGCCACCGCACCAACCGTGCAGTCAAGATATATAAGATTAAATAGATTATGGTCGTTTTTCTTCATTTGAAACTACACTTCGGAACGAGTACCTACCTTCCCTAACAATTCAATTTGACGTTTCAAAAGTGCCTAAATAAGGATTAATTGAAATAAATGCTTGACTGGCCTCGTTGGCCGAGTGGTCACTAGTGCGACTGCCCGGCAAGCGGTCTCTGGTTCGATTCCCGGGTCGGGCAAAGTAATTATGGGTTTTTTTTAATTTCAGTAGTAGCACGGAGTCTGGAACTGTGCCCGGTATATGGCAATAGGCTTACCCCCTATTAACTGGAACTCATAACATAAATAGTGAAAAGTGCATGTTACATTGTACAGTGCTATAATGTGCACCTCTGCCTACCCCTTCGGGAATAAAAGGCGTGATGTTCTGTTATGTTATGTGATATAAACGCTTTGACTTTGATTTTGTCAAACGAATCCGGGAGCAGAAGCTAGTTAATCCATAAAAACTTCATTAATCGGGAACAAAATGTTGCTATATTCATATTAAGTTTTTTAAAACTACATTATCCTGTCTCATCACGATATAGGTCGTTTAAGTACGAGCTTACTCTTGAGATATAATTATCTCTAGGCGAATCTAAGACCTGGACGCTAGTCTAGGATAAGGCACGCAAACTGTATCAGCTTGTAATAGCTTAGCTTTACATTATGTAATGAACATAATCCCCTAGTTTTGCAGTCCTAACTACACGAAACTTGCTAAGAAAATTAAATTTATAAAATGGATGTAAATAAAGAACATAACATAATATCATTACGCCTTTTATCCCCGAAGGGGTAGGCAGAAGTGCACATTATGCCACTGTACAATGTAACACCCACTTTTCACTATTTATGTTATGAGTCCCATGTAATAGGGGGTGAGCCTATTGCCATATACTAGACTTCGTCCAACTACTGAGATTTTTTTTAAAAATCCAGTAATATTTTGCCTGACCCGGGAATCGAACCCGAGACCCCTTGCCCGGCAGTCGCACTTGCAACCACTCGACCAACGAGGCAGACGAATAAAGAACGTAATAAAATGAAATTAAGTATTTATTTTGATAAATGGATAAATAACAAAAAAATAAAAAAGCCTTATATTCCTCAATTTAAAAAGAAATGTAAATTTTTAAAAAACATATTATTTTATATTAAGTTTAGTTTTAGGGAACCTCTGAGGTGAAGGCCTCCTCCAGAGACTGCCATCTTTCTCAATATTTTGCTGTATCTAGCCAGCGTACTCCAGCCACACGCAGGATTTTGTCATCCCATTGTGTGTGCGGTCTTCCTCTTTTTCTTTTTCCTATTGGTCCTTTCCATGTTGTAATTATTTTGGTCCATCTATTTTCCTGTAACCTTGCCACATGACCTGCCCATTTCCATTTTAGTCTAAGTGCAGAAACTGCGTCAATTGCTTTGGATTACGCTCTGATTTTTGACTGATAGATGGATAAGTAGGTAAAATTCATCTGAGTTAAAACAATACGTACAAATAGATACTTTTTTTCTAATCTCATTTAGAAATCAAAAACAAATCCAATACTTATTTATTTATTTACACTTTTTGTATATATACAATGGCGGACTTAATGCCTAGTGGCATTCTCTAACAGTCAACCTTAGGGTGATGCAGAGAGACACAATAGTAGGTGTAAACGTTTAACACTTATTAGAATGACACAATAATTAACATTACATATGATTAACATGTCTCTGAATGATGAATCTCATGTAGAAATCAAAAACAAATCCAATATATTCACAAACAAAATCAAAAATGGCAATCACACACCTAACCTACTTTATTTCTTGTTCCAGGTGAAACAGTGACTCCAGATAACACCACAATCACCAGGGTGCTGCCTCTCACAGTCACTCGCGAGGAGTTGGGAGGGGAACTGACTTGCGTCGTCAGCTCAGCAGCACTGGACGCTGATATCGTGAAGAAAGTGAAGCTTGATGTTAGAGGTACGTGAAGGAAATTATTTGTTTGAGAGCTGTCTTAAGTGTCACAGGCCTGTTTACAACCGACATGAGAGTTTGAGTGTTTCTTAAAAAGTTTGTAAAAGCATTCATGACATAGATGGCAATAGCAAAGGCAAAACTAGTATGAAAGATAAATTAAGTGTTCTAGAAGATTTTTTATGGGATAAGCCGGTAAAAGAGTGGACGGATCACCTGGTGGCAAGCAATCGGCGCCACCCGTAACACCAGGGGCATTACAAGTGCGTTAGCAGCCTTTTTGGGAATTAGGAATTTGAGGATTTTTGAGGCTTGGGTAGGTGGGTAAGTCTGCTTCGGATAACCTCACTTGCACCACAAAACACAACGCAAATGTTGTTTCAAGTCAGTTTTCTGTGGCCGTGGTATCGCTCCGGTCGAGCCGGTCCAACGTGCTGAAGCATGGCACTCCCACAGTAATCTTACGAGTTGATGAAAACTATTACGTTTTACGTATCAAAATTTTCAAACTATACATTTATCTCCATCTCGTTCTTAAGAAAAAAAATCGTGACTACTGCAATTATCCTTACTAATATTATAAATCTGAAAGTGAGTTTGTTTGTTTGTTTGTTTGTTCCACCTTCACGCCGTAACTACTCAACCGATTGCTTTGAATTTGCAGACGTAAAGTTAGAAGTCCGGATTAAATAATAGGCTACTTTTTAACCCGGAAAAAATTGATATTCCCGAGGAAAAACAAAAGTATTGGTATAGATGGCGCTGTGTGTATTGGTATATGTCACATAGGCTAGGTACTTTTTAACCGACTTCAAAAAAAGGAGGAGGTTCTCAATTCGACCGTATATATGATTTTTTTTTTATGTTTGTTCGCCGATATCTCCGTTGTTTATAAACCGATTTTGAAAATTCTTTTTTTGTTAGAAAGGAGATAGTTCCAGAATGGTCCCATGATAAGGAAATTAAAAATAATACTTTTAAAAATTATAGGGATAACTAGGGCATTTGTTAATTTTTTCATTAAGTATTAAAAACCACTACAATCTGATAAAGGTCTGGAGCCGATCTGATGATGGAGCCGAGAGCCAGTTGAGGGAACTCCTCAACGGTTAACAGTAGCTACCTTGTGTTTGGGTTTGATTAATTTGTATTGATGAGGACTTTACACCTGAGTAGGGTGTAATTGTCAATAAGGGTCTGATGATGAAGTAGTACGATAGTTGAGGGAACTCCTCAACGGTTAACAGTAGCTACTTTGTGTTTGGGTTTGATTAATTTGTATTGATGAGGACTTTACACCTGAGTAGGGTGTAATTGACAATAAGGGTCTGATGATGAAGTAGTACGATAGTTGAGGGAACTCCTCAACGGTTAACAGTAGCTACTTTGTGTTTGGGTTTGATTAATTTGTATTGATGAGTACCTTACACCTAAGTGGGGTGTAATTGTCAATAAGGGTCTGATGATGAAGTAGTACGATAGTTGAGGGAACTCCTCAACGGTTAACAGTAGCTACCTTGTGTTTGGGTTTGATTAATTTGTATTGATGAGGACTTTACACCTGAGTGGGGTGTAATTGTCAATAAGGGTCTGATGATGAAGTAGTACGATAGTTGAGGGAACTCCTCAACGGTTAACAGTAGCTACTTTGTGTTTGGGTTTGATTAATTTGTATTGATGAGGACTTTACACCTGATTGGGGTGTAATTGTCAATAAGGGTCTGATGATGAAGTAGTACGATAGTTGAGGGAACTCCTCAACGGTTAACAGTAGCTGCCTTGTGTTTGGGTTTGATTAATTTGTATTGATGAGGACTTTACACCTGAATGGGGTGTAATTGTCAATAAGGGTCTGATGATGAAGTAGTACGATAGTTGAGGGAACTCCTCAACGGTTAACAGTAGCTACTTTGTGTTTGGGTTTGATTAATTTGTATTGATGAGGACTTTACACCTGAGTATGGTGTAATTGTCAATAAGGGTCTGATGATGAAGTAGTACGATAGTTGAGGGAACTCCTTAACGGTTAACAGTAGCTATTTTGTGTTTAGGTTTGATTAATTTGTATTGATGAGGACTTTACACCTAGATGGGGGGGGGGGGTGATGGTCATTAAAGGTCCAATGACGAAGTAGTATGATAGCTAAGGGACTCCTCAATGGTTAAGAGTACCCACCCGGTGTTTGAACTTGCATAATTTGTATTGATGAAAACTTTGCATCCATGTGGGTTTTGTATAATATAATATCAAAGTACTAAACTAAAAAGTATAAAATAAAATTAAAAAACTGCGTTTAAAAAAACCGACTTCAAAAACAAATGACAAACAAAAAGTAAAAACTAAAAAGGAAAAAAAAACTATTAGTGGTCATACGTACTTATAGCTTACACACCCACTGATAGGTTAGAAGTCGGTGCCACAAACCCACAATAAAATATAAAGTAGACAAAAGTCACAGCTGGTATAATCCATAATAAAATTGTAAACAGCTCAATAATGTTAGGTATCTATTAAGGTTTTAATGAATATATAATAATTAGGTTTAAAACTTGTGGCACCGACTTCTAACCTATCAGTGGGTGTGTAAGCTATAAGTACGTATGACCGCTAATAGTTTTTTTTTCCTTTTTAGTTTTTACTTTTTGTTTGTCATTTGTTTTTGAAGTCGGTTTTTTTAAACGCAGTTTTTTATTATTCTTTTGTGACGCGAGCGAAGCCGCGGGTAAAAGCTAGTAGTTTATAAAGTAAGCAATTATTCTTCATCAATGAAAAAGCTACCAAACCATGATAACACTATTAAATCCGCTACACTTCACATCTAACCAGCTACCACTAAATCTATTACGATTTTTTAAATAAAATAAGATTTATCCCAGACTGAAATGTACACACGAATGCACACATCGCTTGCAACGTGTCGATTCAATGCCCAGGCGGTGCCATAAGGATTCCATTCGAGGATTTTTGAGAAGACGTTCCATCGGTCCTTTCATACGCATCGCTAATAGATTTTCTCACTAAGTAGTCAGATGGAAATCTGGGAATATTTTTTGTAATTGAATGAGGAGGTGTTGACTTGGAATCTGATTTTTATAATAGTTCTAGATTAATAATGTTCAAGGTGGGTGTAAATTTGTTCGAGTGTAGAAGTTTTTAAGATGAATTGTATGATGTGAAAGTATAGTTTACGACAATGTGACATCATAAGTGGTATGTAATATCCAGAAGTGACTTTAAAAGGTGCATTATTGTACACTGTTTACTAATTAAACTTGAAACAGTGTCCCTTGTACCAAGCCAAGGATTCTAAATTCAAAGATCAAGCTTTTACAGCTAGTTGTTAAACTATATAACGTAACATCACGCCTTTTAACCGCGAAGGGGTAGGCAGCGGTGCACATTATGCCACTGTACAATGTAACACCCACTTTTCACTATTTATGTTATGAGTCCCATGTAATAGGAGGTAAGTCTATTGATACTAGGCACAATTACAAACTCCGTGCAACTACTGAGATTTTTTTACCCAGTAATATTTTCCCGACTCAAGAATCGAACCCGAGACCTCTTGCCAGTCGCACTTATAACCATTTGGCCAATGAGGCAGTTATACTGAATCCTAAATAATTATAAGGAGGCAAGTTCCCAATCAAACACTTAAGCCAAAATGTCATATTCTTGACACACGACCGTCTGTATTTGATGGACACTTGTCAGATTTGTCAAATGTCATGTCACGAATGTGTCAAACGTCACTTTTGACCCGGGTTTTATTCCCAATATTCAAATGTCAAAGATGCGAGATTCTACGAAATGACACTTTAGTCCTTGGAGACGGTTTTATTCAACTTATGTCAAAGTTTGCCTCCAAGTTGGAATTGTGGTGAATCATGTTAAAATTATAATGTAACTTGAGTACGAACAAGTTGAATATTCGACAATTATTCGCTAAATGTGGCTCTGTTTAGGTTTTGTGAATACGTGATCTGTGGTCCTTGGGTACGAATGTGGAAAATTTTTGTTTAAAAATGTTTTTATATGCCAAAAGTCTGTGTGTATTCTTTTTTTTGGCTCTGTTTAAGATCGTTGGCCTTAAGGGGTCAGACTGAACACTATATTAAACTTTTTAATTTATTAGTGTTTTAGTAATCTGCAGTTTTAATGAACAGCTTTATATACCTTTATTATGTCACATAAAGATGAATAGAGGTGAACCTCAGTCCGCTAACATAAAAATACTCTCGAATTTAGCACCTACTAGGCTAATTAATTAATACAAAATTAAGCCATTAATAATACTCAAAGACCCACCCACATAATTCGCGCAAATAAAAATGTCAAGTCTCTCTAAAAATAGGTAAATTTGCTCCCTAAAAACTCGATAGCCATTAAACGCTAAAATTGGGCTCAATTTTTCCAACCGCCATCTTACTAGCGTTGTCTGTATAATTGAAGACATTAATAAAACGGTATCAGCAGGGCAACTAAATGAAAATTTATTCGTTTGCTAAATTAAACACGAAAAAGTTAACGAATTAGAGTCAAGGGCTTACACGATTTAAGAGTTTTTCGGTTAAATTATGTGAGAATTAAAACTGGATTCTGGCTTCTGGATGTAATCTATTGATGTGTTTTCGTAACTAATTCTTGACTCTCATTTTACTTTATCTGATCTTTTTGATTGTTTTTGAAATTGGGTTTGTTAAGCTATCTTTGGTTTAATAATTATTTAGTACACATTAATAACTGACTGCCTCGTTGGCCGAGTGGTTGCAAGTGCGACTGTCGGGTAAGGAGTCTCGGGTTTAATTCCCGGGTCGGGCAAACCATTACTGGGTTTTTCAAAAATTCTTAGTAGTAGCACTGAGTTTGGAATTGTGCCCGGTATATGGGAATAGGCTCACCCCCTATTACATGGGGCTCATAACATGAATATTGCAGTGGGTGTTACATTGTACAGTGGCAAAATGTACACCTCTGCCTGCCCCTTCGGGGTTTATAATTT